TCACAGCTGGTTTGGTACAATTGCATTATTTGTTTAGAATGCATTTGCTCCCTCGCTGCCTCTACCTATTTCAAACTCTTCCCATAATCCTCCCTACTCAATTCTTTAGTCAGCTGCGATCAGTGGTCTTGCGCTATATTTGAAGGAATAAAAAGCTTAGGCTCCGGTATACAGTTTTAGTGAAGAAAAAGTAAAATGGTGGGGCTGCTCTTCTGGATTTAGTCGTATAACGGGGCTAATCATTTATCTAATTTGCTTTATCGGTTTGATTTTCGCGACCCTGCATCCTGGGTTCTCCTTGAGCTCAACCTTTCTCCTGTCCCACTAACTAATCTCCATGGCTCTCGACCTCTGAGCTCTGACTTGCCCTTTTTCATGACCTTGGTCCTACGGGTATGGAATTCTATGATGCATACATATAATTGTCTACGTTCCAGGATCCTATGACTCCTGTTTTGGCTCCTCCTGATTTTTCTCTAGGATGTGGAGTTTGTACTTTCCTTTGCTGGGGGGCTGATGCACCCTCTTGTCTTTCAGGGCATCTCTGGTAGTGCCTTGAAGTCCCTTTCCCTACTTTTTAGCCCTGACCTTCCACCACGTAATTCTTGGTTTGCCCACCTTCAGCTTCAACATTTTCTGAAGATTCTATCCACTTCTGGACATCTCTATAGATCCCTCACCCCTTTTGAGTGATAATGCGCATCTGGCGAAACGCCTCCGCATCTTGTCTCCTTTCTATAGAACTCCTTTATTTTAGTGGATTGTGAGGAATCACTGTACTTTTTTCTTTTGTCTGCTGGGGAGTGGGATGTGGTCCTTTTTCTAAGGAGGACAGGTTTAAGTGGTTTTGCTTTACACATAAATTGAGTATGTCTTCCTTGGTTCAGGAGCGCAATTTCAAGCTACTGACCCGATGGTATAGGGCTACGGTTCAGATGCACCAAATGTATATTTCCTATCCTACGACATGTTGAAGATGCCTGGGTGAGGTGGGGTACCCTGACTCTCACATTTGGTGGAGTTGCCCACTGATTCTGCCCTATTGGCGAGCCATCTTGCACGTTTACTCGAAGGTTACATCTAAGTGCAGTTCATATTGCCTCAAATGGCTATATTGTCTATCTTTCCGGGCCCCATCTCTAAATTAAAGAACTCCCTTCTTTGCTTCTTTTTATCAATAGTAAACCATAGTTCTCATACCTAGGCATTGGAATTCCCCAGTCAGTCGCGGAGTGGACTGCGGAACTGTGCCGCTTAACGAGATTTGAGGAATTGGTAGCCAAGCGGGCCGACCACTCTGATGTTTTCTTATGCAGATGGATGCCCTGGATTTTGTTTTATGGATTCTGGGGAATTTCGGACCCTCAAGTGAGCTCATTTCCACTTTTTGATAAGATGGTGAGACACAGGGAATCACAGTTGTGAACCTTTTTTAGTCGTGATGATGACGGTGGGGTTGACACCCCTCTCCCTTCCCTTTTTTTTTTTTTTTTTTCCTTTTTTTCTCTTTTTCTCCTTTATCTCTGTTAGCTCTTTTTTTCCTCTTCCTTTCATATGTTTCTCCTTCCTCTTCTTAACTTGATGTTCGTTCTGTTTGTGTGTTCCTGTGGATTTCTGATGGACAGCACTGGGGACTATTCCCCTGTTTGCCCCAAGTGTGGTTCTATCAATGTGTGATGCCCCCTATACTGCATAAGGACAATGGAGGGCTGTTGGTAATACCATCCCCGTATCTAGGGGAGGTGTCACATGAAAGATGAATTGAGTTATGGCTCTATTTACTTGTGGTGTATTATATGTTTGCAACAGCAACGGGGATCCTCAGTTACTTTTTCAGGTCTTTATGCTTATGTGCCTTTTGACATGTTTACTGTATGTTTTGTATATGCTGAAAAGCTGTTGTAAAATGTTTTTTTTTATAAAACTTACTTTTGCAGAAATGAATGGGTTTTCTAAACCTGGCAAATAACAATTTTTCTTTCATATGGCCATTGCAACTGTATTCAGTTTGTAAACAGAGTTTTTCCTAGAACTCTATCAAATTTTGCTGTAACTATCTGAATTGCAACACTGATTTTTAAAAAAGGCAGAACGTTCCACATGGCACTCAGTTTAAAAGTGCACCGAAGTAGCTTATTTCAGTATCTACAGAACCTATGCAGTTTAAGATCTGCTGTAAATTTTTCCAAACTCCTTGCAATATGTGCAGAAGTCGATTTTTTTCCCCCCAAAAAAATTGGAGGGACATTAACCCCTTCGTGACTGACGACGTACAGTGTACGTCGCCAGCATCGGGGCTGTTTAAACAGACTCCCGGCGACTTTTGTTTAAACTTGTAGAGCCGACTGTCGGCTTTACAACAGTTAAAATCAGCAGTTTTAAATATAGGGTTTATTGAGTTATCATTTCTGCACTGCAGAGGTTAACTTGCTATTTAATGCTGTCCTTAATGACAAGCAGTCTGTGAGATAACTACAGACAATTGCCAAGATGTGACCTCCAGTATGTTCAGTACTATGTGCGTTTTTAATATGATATTTTAAAAGATTAACACTACCAAAAAAAACTGACATTTCAATTTTAAATGGCTGCAGAGTGGTTGCATCGCTTACCTGCTTCTCTCAGATACTCATCTCACCTGAACTAGGCACTAGGTTTTCACTGCTGAAGTAATTGACGGATGCAGAAAGCTAAGGAGTAAAATATTCCTTTGAACAAAAATTGTTCTGGGTTAAGTATCTTTTTTGGTGGTGATTAATATTTTGTTATAAAACAAAGTAGCATCTACAGTATCTCTCAGAAGTGAGTACACCCCTCAAATTTTTGTAAATATTTTATTATATCATTTCATGTGACGACACAGAAGAAATGACACTTTGCTACAATGTAAAGTAGTGAGTGTACAGCTTGTATATCAGTGTACATTTGCTGTCCCCTCAAAATAACTCAACACACAGCCATTAATGTCTAAACCGCTGGCAACAAAAGTGAGAACACCCCTAAGTGAAAATGTCCAAATTGGGCCCAATTAGCCATTTTCCCTCCCACCCAGCAATAATACATTATACAGGCTGCCTAATATATTATTGCTGGGATTAGGTGTTCCTCTATAGCTGCTGGTGTTCTGCAGTGTGCGGTTGTATTATACAATGCAGAACACCATGTACAATACAATACAATGCAATGCAGAATACCAATGTATAATACACCGGCACACTGCTGAACACCAGCAGCTATAGAGAAACAACAAATCCCAGCAATAATACATTATACAGGCTGTTTAATGTATTATTGCTGGAATATGTTGTTCCTCTATAGCTGCTGGTGTTCTACAGTGTGCCGCTTTTTTTTTTCTAAAACGGGAAACATTAAAACAGGTCCCCCTTACCTGTTTCTGAACCCTTGTAAGTCGCTGCAGCTGCGGGCGTGTGTCCGGCTTGTGCGGTGGCCGGGTACGCGGCGTGGCGTGCATAGCGTAACTCGTGTATGGAGCGGCGAACAGGCGGGCGTAAGTGGGAAATGTAAATTTTAGCCGACGAATCGACAATGGAAACCGCTGACAACGCTTTCCATCGTCGATTTTAATCGACTTAATCTAATAATTGTTGCAGCTCTACAGAATACCAATTTATAATACACCGGCACACTGCTGAACACCAGCAGCTATAGAGGAACACCAAATCCCAGCAATAATACATTATAAAGGGTGTTTAATGTATTATTGCTGGGATTTGGTGTTCCTCTATAACTGCTAATGTTCGGCAGTGTGCCGCTTTAAAAAAAAAACAGGAGACATTAAAAAGCTCCTGGCCGATCTCGACTTACCTTGAATGACCGTGTTGTCGGCAGGCAGCGGCGTTGTCGGCAGGCAGCGGCGAGTCGGGAAGCTCACCAGCAGGAGAGGCCAGGCGCATGTCCTCAGCGTGGGTGTGGCATAATCGGCGTGATTGGGTTTACCGGCGTAGGCGTTGCGCGAGCGTCGGTTACGCGTGAGCGTTGTAACCGACGTGGGCGTGGCGTGAGCGGCGAGCTGGAAATTTGAATTTTAGCCAACGAATCAACGATGGAAAACGTTGACAACTTTTTCCATCGTCGATTTTAATCGAATAATTGTTTCAGCTCTACTGTATAAGACTTGCATCATCAGAGAACTGTCTGGCGCACACACTCACTAGAACCATATTCTGTTATTGCACCGTATAGAGCTATTAGAGTGCACATTTTCCCATGTATTTGTTTTCTGAGAGTCTGTTGGTATCCCCAACACTTAACACCAGCCTGAATACTTAATGCGACTGTAACTACAGGGCCAAAATGGCAAAAAATGTGATACCTGTAAAAGAATGTGGCACTATACTTAGCTTTTCCGGAACATGCTGCAAGTATGTGACTTGTCGGATGAGTCAAAATACCTGTTTTCCCCCTCCACACATAGTGGTTTCTTCCTACAGGCTCATACATCCTGTAGTTGTGTATAAGCTGGTGGAGAGGGAGAAGCAGCTATTCACACACTAGGAGGTGTAAAATACATGCAGCAGTTGGGGAGCAGCATTTCAAATCACAGGTGGCTGGAAAGGTAAGTATAATGAGTCTTAATTTTTTGTTGTTTTGACCCTATAGGGTTACTTTTAACCTTTCCGGGGGGAAATTTTTACTATTAACCCTCTCTAACACATAACATAACTGTAAATAACCCCTAATATTAATTTATCCCCTTTCTGCAACATAATCATCTTATCTTATGCTGGATCAAAACGATTGACAAATTGATGCCCATCCTGTACCCCAACCCTCTAGAAAAGTAAATTGGAATTCTCAGTGGACATGCTGTGATTCTGTACTGTGTACCCAGCTGGGCTACCCTGAGTGCAGACCCAGAAATGTCTACAATTGTGTGTAGATGCTCCTTGGTTTGCAAATGGATCAATAAATAGAGGGGGTTTGTCTGTTTTATACCTTTTTTTTATTAAGCATGGTATTTTTTTGAACATCCATTTTAGGTGGGTGAAGATTACAGAAACTTTATCCTAAAGCCTGGAGGATCGCTAGATGCTATTGAAATGCTACGTAACTTCCTTGGCCGTGACCCGAAGCAGGAAGCATTCCTTGAGAGCAAAGGACTGACCAGTCTGTCATGACTAGTGGCTTCTACCTACTAGTAAACTGGCATGCAAACACCACACAAGATTTGAATTATTCCAGTTATTAGGATAGTTGAATAGGGACTTCCAAATGGTTAGTTTTTTTGCACATCAAGCTAACAATTGCTGTATGCAGGTATTCCCTATATACTCAGTGGCAGAACTTGTGAATGCATTTTGAAAATTGTAAACAATGTGCTCTTGTTACAAATCATGAAACTTCAATTTTTTGTATACTTTTGAATCATAGGAAAACAATTAAATATGTTTTTAACCATCCATCTACTCTTCATCTCTTTAACACAGAGAGAACCAGATTTGGTCAACACTCTACTTACCTACTTGAAATAGGGTTCTATGAATCATTACCACTGTGGAATTACATGTGCCTATCTAAATAAATGATTTGATCCCAGTGTTTCTTCCTTTTTTGTTTTTTTTTGTTCTGATTTGACTGATATACTTGTGTTTAAACCTTGTCAGCATTCTGTTTTTATCATTGCAACTCCAGCAATGTGAAAAGTTATTAGACTTAAAGTGTACCTGTGCCCAGACTATGAACAATAACTGTTTACACATTCTTAACGAGCAGTAAAAAAAAAAAAAAAGCTTTAAAACAAGACCTTTCTAGCTGCTATAAATGGGAAGTTATTGATGCTCAAAGATCACCAGAAAGACTCTTGACATCCAGTTTTTGTTTGGTTTTTAACCGCTTTGAAACATCTGTGTGTTTACATTGGAGGGCTGTCAGCCTGCCAAGATCACATATAAAAAGCTAAGATTTCAGTGCCTGTATTGTGAATTTTGAAAGTAATTCACAATGCCTGTGCATACGTAGTTGAAGGCTTGTTTTTAAAGTGCTTCTACTGCTTGTTCAGAGTACTTTACTGTGTATGATCTGGGCATAGGCTCATATTAAACATAGCAATTATTTCTCCAATTGCCTGTCTGCGGCTGCCCGGTGTTTGTTGCAGTGGCGTGGGTTCTTGTTCTGACTTCGAGTGGAGCCGCACGCTTTAAGCCTCGTTCTGGGCGCGCAGCCTCATTTCCGGCTCTGATGTCACTTCCGTTGCGCTCTGCATGCTGATGCTGCAGCGGGCGCAGCCCTTCGGGCGGTTTTTCTGAGCCAGAAATGGTTTGGGGGAACACCGCGGCTGCCTAGATGAAGGAAGACGGCAGGCAGGCGAGTGTGGCGTCTAAAGCCAAGGGGCTGGTAAGGAGGTTAAGCAAACGTTAGGCCTCTTTCTGAGGCATTAGATGGGCCTGTATCAGATGTGGAAAGTTGCCCCTCTAGACATCTGTTCCCATTAGAAGAAATGTATTATTATTATTAGTCAATCTATGCTACTGAACAAACTCCCAGATCCTCCACAAGCCATTTTAGTTAAGGATAGAGTGTACAGGGGTTTGCTGGAAACGCAGGGTAGAGTTTTTCCTATATACCAGTCAGTTAAGTACTTCTGGGGAATGGATGGAGCCAGAGCGTAAGCTCCTATATTTTAGATCTTGGAAAAGATAGTTTTCCTTTAGCACAGAGGACGATAACAGATATTTTAAGTGTCCAAAATTAGATGCTCCATTAGCTCAGTTTTCAAGGAAGGCTGATCTTTCATTTGAGGATGCTGGTAATATAAGGGATCAAATGGACCGGAAGGCGGAAGCCCCTTTTACGTAAGGCTTGGGATGCTAATGCGGCATCTATGGCACTAGCTGTTGCTGCCACTTGCTAGAAACATGGATTTATGGTTGGAAAGAGTATCCAAACCTCTCCAGCAGAACAGATTTTGGAATCCTTTCAGTAGTTGGTAAGGCAGTGGCCTGTCTGGCTGATGCTTCAGCAGAATTGGTTAGTGCCTGTGCTAGGTCTGGGGCTAAATTCTAAATTCTGCCAGACGTACCATTTGGTTAAAGTCCTGAGAGGGAGGTGGGTCTTCAAAGGCTAGACTCTGTGGGTTGCCCTTTGAAAGAAAGTTAGTGTTTGGGGATGAGGTACTTGCCAGATCATCAGAGCAGGGTAAAACATTTCCTGAAAAGAAGTTTCGCAATTAGGGATGTTCAAATAGCAAGTACCATACTCGGTACAAATACAGATACTTTTCCAGCTCCAAAACCAGACTAGAGAAAAATTCAAAAGTTAGGAGGCAGCTGTAATTTTTAAGGAGCATACGGGGCTCATGGGATTTGTGCATCCATGTTTTTTAATGTGTGATATACATTTTGTTTTAATTTATTTTTTTTATATATAAAGGATGCACAGATACCATTTGTGAGGTACAACAGAGATTAGGGTGGATTCTGAACATAGAAAAAATCCTACCCAATCCATGGTTTTCTAAGGGAAAAAATTAGATTGTTGGAGGTCATGACATCAGCTATTCCAGCTTTGGATTGGGCTCAACTACATGCAAAAACATTACAAATTTTCCTGTTGTCCCAATGGGACAGGAAAAAGGAGGCCATGGACTTCAGAGTTCAGCTCCCGACAGAGCTCTCTGTTGGTAGTTCCAAAGAGGCTGCAAGAAGGCAGGTTGTGATACCAAATTAGTCAAGACAGGGCCACCACGGACACAAGCTCTTGGAGCTGGGGGGCCCATGCCCAGGGACTTCAGGCTCAAGGGCCTTGGCCGCAAGAAGTGAGCAGGGCATCATCAAATATTAGGGAGCTTTCGGCAGTGCGGGAGGCATTGTTAGCGGGAGATTCAGATTTTTTCAGACAACTCCAGAGTGGCTTATTTGACTCCTCTGGGTGGCACCAGATCTCCAGGCCTATTAGCAGTGGCTCAGCAGATTCTTCTCTGGGCAGAGGTCTATCTCGGCTGTGCACATAAGAGGTCAGTACAATGTGAAGGTAGACTTCTTAAGTTGGAGACCTATTCACCACGAGTGGGGACTGAAGCTAGAGGTTGTCAATCTGATAGTCTACAAGTGGGGTCAGATAAAAGGATATAGATTTGTTTACAAGCAAGGAAAACGGGAAAGTAAGAGCTTTCTTTTCAAGAGGAAGGGAAGGGGTCTCATTGGGCATAGATGCTCTAGCTCAAGATTGTGTTTTCAACCTAGGTTATGCTTTTCCTCCTCTGTCCTTGATCCCTCGGATTTTACTAAAGTTGAATCAGGTGAGATGTTTTCTCATACGGCTAGCTCCTTGGTGGCCAACAGCAGCTGGTTCTCTGCCCTTCAGAGACGATCAGTTTATCACCCTTGGGAGCTCCCGTCCAGGAGGAAGCTTCTCTTTCAAGGGCCAGTTCTACATCCAAACCTTTTTCGGTTGACTGCCTGGTTCTTGAAAAGGAGGTTGTTTAAAAAAAAAAAAGAAGGGTTGTTTGGACAAAGTGGTAGATACTCTCCTTTCCAGTAGGAAGTTGGTGACTAGGAAAATCTACAGTAAGATGTGGAATATTTTTTTTCTTCTTGGTGTTTACGTAAGAACGTTTGTTTCTCTTTCGGTTTTGGGGATTTTTAGATTTCCTACAAGAAGGGTTTGATAAAAGTCTAGCCAGTCATCTTTTTGTTGCTTTTTTTGGGGGAAAAAAGGGGGCCTACAGGCTCCTAGAGCCTCTATAGCCTGGTGTAAAAGGCAGGCTATTGCTTATGTTTATCAATCAGAAGGTGCCTAAGTCAGTAAGGGCCCATTCTACTAAGTCTCTAGCCACTTCATGGGCAGAGAGAGCTGGGGTTTCGGTGGAACAAATTGCAGAGTCGCTGTCTGGTCAAGACAGGACACCTTCGCCAGACACTAGAGTGGAAGTTCTGTCACAGCAAGACCTAGTGTTAGTCGGTGGTCACGTCCTGATAAGGTAGGTTTGTTGATGTGCTAACAAATCCTTTGTTAGACTTACCGGTAAAGGTATTTCTGAGAATCTTCCAGGACAGCAAGCCTACTTTCGAACCCAATCTATGTCTGATGGTGTTTTCATTGAATGTTGGTTCATTTCCCTTATGCACTGGTGGAGGTAGTGTAATTTTAGCTCAACTGAGGGATGAGGGGTATGGGAGGGATTTTTAAAGTCTGTTCAATTGTGTTTCTTGTAGAAGGAGGAGACAATCATCTCTCAGGTTGCCGTCCTGGAAGATTCTCAGAAATACTGTTACCGGCTAAGTCCTAATTAATAATTTCCACATCCATGAATTGTGTTTGGCAGCACACAGGTACAGGGAAGGCATGTTGTTAAAAAAACATTAAAAACATAGTTTCTGCCACATTACTATTTTCAGCTCTCATTGGCTCTTAACCTGAAAAGAATAATCATTATGGCTATACTTTTTTTTCTTCTTTACTATGGGGGCGCTTCGGGAAAATATCAGGAGTCTCAGCACTTATGAATGGAAATCACTCGGTACAGAGGCTTCCCATCCATCACAAACTGGTGATAGTAAAAATATTTACCATCATCCAGTTAAGAATGGGTAGAAGCCTCTGTAGTGGGCGCTTCTCCATTCAGAAACTCATGAAAGACGCCTGGAATTTTTGTTAATGGCTGTCTTCAGCGCCTTGTCAGCTGCTGATGACGGCTTTTAATTTACAGCGGACTGTTGGGGGGACCCTTCTGATATAAGTTCATGGTCACTATAGCTGTAAGCCTTACGTTGATGGCAGCGAAAGGGTTAAATGGTTTGTTGTCTAGTCTATACAAAAAACACAATCATTTACAGTCATCCAATGAATACTTGATTTACATGCTTTCAAGTATCAGTTTAAATTTGGGCTTGATTAAAGTATATGTCAAGACAAAAAACAGTAGTGCAATACTTGCCCATTTCCCTGTGTTTTTTTCCTTTTAAACCTGGAAAATACCTTTTTTATGATTTGCCAGAAATGCACTTAGCTCCTAATTGGTTTGAGCTTAGTGGTGTAAGCCTGCCTGGTTGTTTTGCTAAAATACTCCATTCACCCACTGTCTTCATATCCAAAGCATAGGCACTAATTGCTCTCTAATCCCAATATAAAAAGTTATTGGGCTAAAAACTCCCTTTCAGATAACACAGGAAGTATGCAGAGGACACAGAACAGCTATGAGTTTCTGACACGATTGCTGTTGTTTTACTTGGACATTGTGTTTTGCAACATATAAAATCTTTCAGTGGACCAGGTTCAAATATGAGAAATTTATTGTTGGGGTTTACATACATTTTAACCCCTTCATGACTGAGGCCCTTTTTTCAATTTTTGCACCCATGTTATATTCCACATTTTAGGCCTGAAAATGATGTAAAACCCCCCAACATTATATATTTTCTGAATGCCAAGACCCTATAGAATAAAATGGTGGTAGTTGAAAATGTTTATGAGGTTAAGGTCTGTTTTAGATTCAGTATAATATAATTATTTCAACATTCCTGGAAAATGTTTTTTTTATTTCGTTGTCTCCTTTTCTATCTGATGGTCTAGATCCAAGGTTAAGACCTGTTGCTGGTG